GCTGTTGGGATGGCAATGTAGAGAATAGGTTAGAGTGGGGAAAAGACTGGCTGTTTGCAGAGATCAGCTCTATCAGAGATGTTTTTGTGCCGATCCTGGAAGTGGAGAACGCATGGTGCCCGCCATGATACTTTGCACAAAGTAGGTGCTTCAGAGTACTTGTAAAGCAGTGCTGTATATGGAAATATACCCGGAAGGTACTCCATAAAGGTTCTTTCAAGTTGAATTGCATTGAAAAGAGCACTGGCCTTGGAGTCAGAAAATCTGAAATAGAATCCCTACTTATGTTATTGTAGTTAGTTTTTTTTTTTTTTTTTTTTTTTTTTTTTTTTTGCGGTACGCGGGCCTCTCACTGTTGTGGCCTCTCCCTTTGCGGAGCACAGCCTCCGGCCATGCAGACTCAGCACCCATGGCTCACGGGCCCAGCCGTTCCACAGCATGTGGGATCTTCCCAGACTGGGTCACAAACCCGTGTCCCCTGCATCGGCAGGCGGACCCCCAACCACTGCACCACCAGGGAAGCCCTGTAGTTAGTTATTTTTAACTTTTATTAAAATTAATTTTTATTGGAGTATAGTTGATCTTTAAAAAATTATTATTATTATTTTTTAGCGGTACGTGGGCCTCTCACTGTTGCGGCCTCTCCCGTTGCGGAGCACAGGCTCTGGACGCGCAGGCTCAGCAGCCACGGCTCACGGGCCTAGCCACTTCGCGGTATGAGGGATATCCCCGGACCGGGGCACGAACCCGCGTCCCCTGCATCGGCAGGCAGACTCTCAACCACTGTGCCACCAGGGAAGCCCTAAAAATTATTTTTTATTGGAATATATATTTTTAACTTTTTTGAGCCTTATCTGTAAGATACCTGCCTTACCTGTCTCACACCTCTATGAGATCAAATTAGTGATTGTTAAAGTGCTTTGTAAAGTGTTCTGTAAATGTTCAGGTTTATTGTTATTGATGTAGAGATATTTCTTAAGCATCTCTGGGATATGCCATTATTAGGGTGAGAAGGGTATAGATGTGTCAAGAAAGGTGCTGGGATTTTGAGCCTACTAACGGAATGACCTGTTGTCCTGAGTGTTAATTGAAAACATTAATTTGAGGGCTGTTTATTGCTCTTAGAGCTTCCAATCTGAAGACTGTGGCTTTCTTTGGCAATGTGGGCGACTCTGAACAAACTTGGAGGCAATACCCTCTGGTAGAAAGAATATGGGCAATACCCTCTGGTAGAAAGAATATGGGTAGAAAGAATACAGGCTGATGGATTCAAATTCTGGCTCTGCCACTCGCTGGCATGGTTATCTACCTGTGTTTTTTATTTGTAAAGTGTTTTCATTTTCTATTGCTGTGTAACAAATTACCTCAAAAGCTTAGTGGTTTAAAATGACAATAATCATGTATTATTTCCTGGTTTTTGTGGGTCAGGAATTCAGACAGGGTGCAGCGGGAACAGCTTGCTCTGCTCCATGCTGTCTGGGGCCTACTGGGAAGACTCGAAGGCTCACCTGGGTCTGGCAGTTGATGCCATCTGTTGACTGGAGATGTCTCCGGGGCTGCGGGCAGAACACCTACTCACAGTCTGGTGGTAGGTTCCAAAGGCAAGCGTCCTGAGAGCACGAGAAAGCCAGGTGGAAGAAGTATTGCCTTTGATATTCTAACCCTGGAAGTCACACAGTGTCATTTTTGTCACATTTTCTTGCTCAAGTCTGGTATAAAGCTCTACACAGTTTCAAGAAGAGGAAACATAGACCCATCTGTCTTTGAGTGGAGGAAAGTTAGTGTCGAATCAGGAAAGCATTTGGGGTGGGAGATGTATTGTTGTGGCTCCATCCACAAGTGTGTACCTGATGAGGTAATTGTGAGAATAAAATGAGCACATAGAAGCTTTTTTAAAAAATGTTTTCTTTCCTTTAGAGACCTTTAAATCTTAGGGATTTGTGAAAGAATTAAATAGCACTTTTTGGTTCCATAGCGCATCTTGGATGACTCTTTTTTTACGTGTGCTGAAAATAGAGATTGAAAACTCAGTGCTATAGAGTACTGTCTGATAAAAACAACTTGTAGAAATGACAACTGTCAATAAGGTTGGTATGTGATGGCTTTTGGTGAAGTAAAGTTAGGAAGCACAGCTGCTTAAAAAACAGCTCTTTATTGAAGTGTGTACTATACATATACAGCTGGATGAATTTTCATAAGTTGAACGGTCCTATAACTGGCGCCCAGATTAAAAACAAGACCATTGCTAGTATGACAAAAGACCACCTCATGAGAAGCACTTTTTCTTTTAATGTAATATCAAGGTGAAAAGGGAAAACAGAAATTTTGGGATGTAGCAGTTCAGTGGTATATGTTGACTCCATTAAAAGAAAAAACTAGGAGGGAAAGCACAAATTACAAAGTTAAGGTTAATTACCGTCTAGTTTGTAGAATGACTAATCCATACAACAAGTTATGGTTTTATAGGAGGTATACTTGTATTGGGTTGGCCAAAAAGTGCCTTCAGTTTTTAAGTAAAACTAAAAGACATATTTTTCATTTTCACCAAGAACCTTATTGAACAACATAGTCACCGTTTTGTTCCACTACCTTCTGCCATTTTTCAGGCAACTTCATATTTCCATCTTCTCAAAACCTTTTATCTTTTTGAGCAAAGAACTGTTCAAGGTGCCTTTTACAGTCCTCCAGGGAATTGACAGTTTTTCCGTTAAGAGAATTTTGTGAAGACCGAAATAAATGGAAATCCAAAGATGCAATGTCTGGTGAATATGGCGGATGAATCAGAACTTCCCAGCCAAGTTGTAACAGTTTTTGCCTGGTCATCAAAGAAACATGCAGTCTTGAGTTATCCTGATGGAAGATTACGTGTTTTCTGTTGACTAATTCCGGACGCTTTTCATTGAGTGCTGCTTTCAGTTGGTCTAGCTGGGAGCAGTACTTGTTGGAATTAATCGTTTGGTTTTCCAGAAGGAACTCGTAATAGAGGACTCCCTTCCAATCCCTTCCAATCCCACCATATACACAACATCACCTTCTTTGGATGAAGACCAGCCTTTGATGTGGTTGGTGGTTCATTTCACTTGCCCCACAATCTCTTCCATTCCCCATTATTGTACAGTATCCACTTTCATCGCCCGTCACAATGTTTTAAAAACGGAACGTTTTCAGTACGTTTACGTAGAGAATCGCAGGTGGAAATACGGTCAAGAAGGTTTTTCTTGCTTAACTTATGTGGAACCCAAACATCAAAGCAATTAACATAACCAATATGGTGTGAATGATTTTCAACGCTTGATTTGGATATTTTGAGTATGTCCGCTATCTCCTGCATGGTATAACGCTGACTGTTCTCAATTAATGTCTCAATTTGATTGCTGTCAACTTCAACTGGTCTACCCGACCACAGAGCATCGTCCAGCAAGGATTCTCCAGCACAAATCCTTGCAAACCACTTTTGACACGTTTGATCAGTCACAGCACCTTCTCCATTCACTGCACAAATCTTTTTTGACATTTCAGTTGTGTTTTTACCATTTTTGAAATAATAAAGTATAATATGCCAAAAATGTTGCTGCTTTCCTTCCATCTTCAATATTAAAATGGCTACACAAAAATTCACTAATTTTAATGTCTTTTTTAAATGCACACTGATATGACAGCTGTCACAATATAGTCTAACAAAATTGTTTCAAATGAAGTTAAAGACAACTAAGTGCTATTAGAGCTATCTTAAGGGAAAAACCGAATGAACCTTTTGGCCAACCCAATAGCAGCCACAGATTTGAAACTAACATTAAAAAAAAAGTGGTTTGGGGCTTCCCTGGTGGCGCAGTGGTTGAGAGTCCGCCTGCCGATGCAGGGGATGCGGGTTCGTGCCCCGGTCCGGGAAGATCCCACATGCCGCGGAGCGGCTGGGCCCGTGAGCCATGGCCGCTGAGCCTGCGCGTCCGGAGACTGTGCTCCGCAACGGGAGAGGTCACAACAGGGAGAGGCCCGCGTACCGCAAAAAAAAAAAAAAAAAAAAAAAAAGTGGTTTGGTCAGGCTAAATCACTAGTCAGAAAGGCTCAAATTAATGTTTTTCCTTTAAAAGCTACAATATCCTTGTTTTTAGAATAGTATCCAATCCTATTAATATAAAAATA